CCTACTGAGGAGACACATGATTTATAGATAATCACACAAATATACTTCTTTTGTGATTGTGTTACATATAACTTAAACCTTTCCGTACCTTTCTTGCCTTAGACCAGTCATTGATTGCAAACTGAGTATAAATAATAGAATTGGGTCAGCCATAGAGGATCCCACCTATAATTCCAGCACAATGGGAGCTCTAGGAGACAGATCACTTGAGGCCAGGAGTTCAAGAGCAGCCTGGGCAACATAGTGACACCACATCTCTACAAATAATAATATTAACAATAATAATAAGAATAAATGAGCTGTGTGTACTGGTGTGCACCTGTTGTCATAGCTACTCAGGAGGCTGAGGCAGGAGGATCCCTTGAGCCCAGGAGTTTGGGGCTGCCGTGAGCTGTGTTCATGTCCCTGCACTCCAGTCTGGGTGACAGAGCAAGACCCTCTTCTTAAAGAAGAAAACAAAACAAAACACAGGACTAAGAACTGTAGGACTGTGATAAAGATATGTCCCAGGAAGGAGCCATCTGAGATTTTATTTTAACAGTGGAAATAGCCATGTGGGATCCAAAGTCCCAGAAATTGAGATGTGAGTTTCTGGTGGGAGAGTTCTGTGCTTTGGACAGGGAAGCTGATCCCAGGCTTGTGAGGTGGCCCTGCTGCCGTAACGTGGTTAGGGAGCTGGGGACAATCTCTTATTCCTTCTGGGCCTGAGTTTCCTCATCAGGAAGTGAAGGTTCCTACTGTACCTCTCCCAGGGACCTTCCTGCTGGGTTTGCTCTGAGTCTCTGGGGGGTTGAGCTGTGTGGTAAAGGTGCCCTGGCACCTGCACCTGAGACCTGGCCTTGGTCCCTACTGTGACTGTCTCCTGCAGGACCCTGAGCTGAGACCACACCCTGAGAACTCAGAACCGAGGGAGCAGATGGAGGAAGGAGAGCCAGCAGGTTTGGGGGATGAGAGTGACCCACACAAGGATACGGTAATGCTGGAGCAGGTGGATACACAGAGGGTGAGAATTAGGACGAATTGTGTTTGGAGATCAGGGGTCAGTGAGGGACGACTGTCACCACCCAAACCCTCAAGGAGCGGCCTGGGCTGAGCAGTGGGATGGGAGAGGAGCTCACGGCACAGGGATCCTGTTCACCTCGTTAAGGACACCCACGGGCTGGACTCAGGGCTGGTTCACCCTGACGGAAGCACCAACTCCAAGAGCAGGAGGAAGAGACCCTGAGACCCCGCCCAGCACCAGCAGCCTCGACCTTGGGGCTGGCCTGGCAGCGGACACCCTCCACGTAAGGGTGGGCTTAGCAGGACAAGGGCTGGACATGCTGCTCCAGGGCAGTGAACCAGGGAAATGGGACCCTTGCACATGAAGTAGTGATACCTGGCCTATCCTCTGTCCCTTTCAGGTGACAAAGGTCTTGTGGCAGCCCAGGGAATGTGTGGAGAGGTGACAGACACGTCTTCCCATGATGGGGTGAACCAGGAAGAGAATCCCTGAAAGCAGCCCCGAGTCATCAGATCCCCTCAGGGGAGTGTCCCGGGTGTGGATATTGTAGGGCTGGGGTCTGTCTACAGGACACGTGCAGCTCTCTGGCAGGAAGCAGAGCGTCCCTCAAAGGACATTGGGGAAGGAATGTGGAGGGGATGGCTGGAGTCAGAAACCACTTTTATTCATTCTCTAACGACCACTGCGGAGAGCCCCTCAGTGCTGGGCCCGAGCTGGGGACTGTGGACACAGAGATGAATGAAACCTTATCCCAGCGTTGACGGAGATCTCAGGCTAGTAGGCCATGAGTCATGAGAAGTGTGGTGACCCTGAGGGAGGGCCCCGTGTGCCCTGAGGGTGAAATCAGTGTCTGTCCTCGTTGTCCATCTGTTTCTTTCCCATAGCTGGGTGACCCCTGTGGGACACAGCACTTCTGACCTCCGAGGATACCACCAACATCTGCCGCCAGGACGTGTCAAGGTCAACGCTGCCAAGGTTTCCAGAGAAAACTGCTGATTCTGTCGTGGCCACCTGGAGACACCATGAGGCAAGTTTAGTGGAACCTGTAAGTCCTGGTCTGCCAGAAAGGTGACGCTGTTCCCTATTCTTGCTGATAAGTCATATGCTTTCCATCTTTCCTAATCTCTCGTTGCATCAAAATTAACTAAATAATGACTCTATTTTTAGAATTTCATTAGCTCAGAATTTATTCTCAGATCTCACATCAAAAAATGAATATAGAGGAAATAAAGCAGTTTTCATGTTTGCAGGGAACACGCAGGAACTAGGGCTGAACCCGCTTTCTGTATTAAGGTGCTTGGGGAACGTCGTGACTGTTGTACTCAGAGACCCAAAAACATCCCACACCCCTTGTTTCACCCCTGTGTCCACCCTATTCCCTTCTGTAAAATCCATCATTTATACTTATGTAGGGAAGTTGAGCTGAGTTAGTTGAGCTCAGTGAGGGCAGTTACAGAACCCTGTGGGTAGCGCCCTGTGCTGGTCACACTGGAGAGCAGAGGACGGGAGCTCTGGAGCGCTGGTCCCTACTGAAAGGAGCTGAGAGTTGTCTGCTCTGAATTCAGCCACGGCTCTGTGTAGGTGGGAAATCAACAGCTAACCCCACACACTCCCCTGCTGACAAGGAAGACGATGATAAGGAGCAGGGACAGCCCTGGGCTTTATGCACCCCCTCCTGATTCTTGTCAAAACCATGTGGAGAACGTCCTACAGAGAATGTCCCAGATTCCTGTGTCACAGTTGAGTGTCACTCATCCTCAGCATGAGTCCTCTCCATGTGGTTTATGTCACACATCATATTTAGACTGTAGCAACAAGAAGAGAATCAGCACAGTGACGGACTAGAAAACCTTGGACAATGTCTGGTTGGCCAATGGGTCTTTACAAAGGTCAAGAACCTGCTCAGAAAGTGAAGCTTTGGGGAACACACAGATTAGGGGGGTTAAGTGTCATGTGGTGGGAGATAGTTGACTACATTTCACAGCACGTGACTTCTGGAGAAAAAACATTCTCTAGTTGCCCCAAATGATGGCCCTGTACACCAGATCAGAATCTCTCTCTTTTTTTTCAATTTTACTGGACAGCGACATGTAAAACAATAAAGAAGAAATTAAATGCAGTAAATAAGCTGGAAAAATGTTTCTTCCTCTAGTCCCAAGGAATAACACGGATCCCATGGGGGTGACACAGGTGGAAGCAGATGGAACCTATGACAGTGGCCAAGATACAGCACATATACTGGCTGCAGGCTGCGGAGCTGTAAATGAGCTTCTTAGAGAAACAGAAATAGTGTCTTTTCAAAAATGTGTTTGGTGAAAATGTTGACCCAGTGGACACTGAGGCTTAACACACATCTCAAAACCAGTGTCATTCCACAGCGTGCTATGGGGATGGTGTGGGCTGTGAGGGGCACTTTCAAAAGTGGCTGAGCAGGCCTCCTTCCTGCACTCTGACAGGAACGCTCAGGGGCCCATGATGACATGGAACTGCAGAGACCTGGGCTACAGGGCGTCTCCCAGGTCCCAGACTCACAGGACCTGGGTGGGAGTGGAAGCCAAGAACGTGAGGAGGTGGCTCACGGGTCCGTCTCCCCTGCCTGCCTGTCCCTGTCACCTCAGCCTCCCCTGGTCTGTCTCTAAACCACATTGCAGGTGGACACCATGGAGCTTCATCACCCCAGAATCATGACCTTGACCTTTCCATGTTCGGTTAGAGGGACACACCCACAGCTCAGCAGTTTCAGGTCAACACACACAGATCTATGGAACAAGGTTCCAGAAAAGTGCTCTGGATCCCTGTCCTGTGCAGTGTGTGAGTGACTGGAGCAAAAATGTAAAACCTGTCATGAGGTTCGCAAGTCTTTTCAACATACACGGTCACTTTGTGTGTTCAAGCCCCTGCACACAAACTAGTGTAATCACTGTGACAGCTGGGAAAGAGAACACGAGGGAATAGGAAGAAATCCATTAGCAAGAATTATGAAATTAATGTTTAGTGACATGAAATAACACCCAAAGCAGCCCACACATAGGGGAGGACGTAGGTGTTGGGAAGTCATACATGACGCAGGTAGAAGGAGAGACACAGCCCCCCTGTGAGGGGACTGAAGCCAACGTAACCCTGGAATGCAGCAGGAACATTCAGACAGGACAGAAACCATATGGAAAAACTAAGTACATGGTCACTTAGTGTTATACACTACATTTTGTTCTATATTTTCTAATGGATTTGGAGGGATGGGGGAAGACACAGAGAAGAATGTCATGAGAGATTTACATTTTTATATGGCTAAAGTTTTACATTATTTAATGTAGGAAAAGTCGTAAGATCTGTTTTAATGGTAAAGAAATGGTGGTGTGAAGACTTAATAACCATGAAGAAAATAAAACTTGAGCGGAAACTGTTTCTGCCTTGATATCTCCACAGACACATAATGGACAAGAGGAAGCACACTTAGATTTACTGAGAAATGAAGGGGTCTGTGGCATGAGCACATGTCTACACCGCTCTGGAGCATGGCCGCTCAGGGGGTGTCCCCTTCAGTGCTGTCCCCTTCAGGCTACTCCACCTGGCCAATGTGTCAACATGGCCCAGGCACTGGGGGGCAGGGGCTCCTAACATTCCGTGCACCTGCACATAATTCTGTTATGACAACCGCAGACAGTTACCCGGCGCGCTGAGCTGTACCTGCCTCACTCTAGTTGGAGACTCAGCTGCAGGCACAGCCTTCAGCTCTGAGCTCTGGCACCTTGAACCCGATTCACTGCACAGTGAAGGACTGTCGAGGTCTGTGGGGTGCGGATCACGTTTTCCCAACAGTAAGTTAAGCAGTGCGGTGCTGGTCCTCCCTCAGTCCCAATGAAACCTCTCTGGTTTCATTTGTTCTTCACCCGTCACGTGTTTGGGTTTCTTCTCCCCAGTCCCTGGCTGTGCCTCTTCTGCCACACCCGGCAGCATGGCAGGGTCTCTCTGCCCTCTGTCCAGGCAGAGGGCGGAGATGGACGTCCGGGAAAACAACAGGGACCTGCGCTCCCAGCTGGCACAGGCTAAACAACAGATCCTAGACCTCAGGGAGAAGCTGAATATTTCCGAATCGACGGCCTTCTCCCTGGCCAACCAGCTGCAGAAATATAGTAAGTTCTGTAGGTTCGCCGTCCTCACAGTGATGAACAGTTGTATGTGTTCTCTCTCAGAAAATAAACGCTCTCTACACTTGGGGCTTCTCTTGTCTTCATCAAAATAAATTCCATCGTGACTATATTCCTAGGAAGGAAACAGCGGGTATTTTAACCTAATTTTTCTGAGGATGGAGAAACTGAGGCACAAAGAATTTCGCCTCGGTTCCAGGTGAGAAGTAGGGTGGGACGTGAGGTAAAATCTCAGTTATTTATTCCTGCAGCTGTCAAGGAAGTGCCTGTGATTTCGGCACAAGCTACACTGGTTTGTCTTAGGACCCTGTGTACTGTACCAAATCCCACAGTCCTGTAGAGTCACTATTGTTGTAGCTTCTGGGACTGATGAGCTTCCATTCAATTCAAGCTTGTGTTGAGGCCCAACAGGAAAGCCCTGAGCTGCCCCCTGAGGAAGGTGGTGGGACACAGCCCGTGCCTCAGAGGAGCTTCCAGAGGAGCGTGCTCCTAAGGGCAGTGGTGCCATTCCTTAGTGACGCTGTCCAGAGGGCCGACCTGGTGGGAGGGAAGCTCTGCTTCCTGGGACACCGGCCCTACTTTGAGTCCAAGAAAGTCATTTGAAACTTAGCGGAAAGGTAGATGGTGCTTCTCCTTATGTCAGGGAAACTTTCCCACCCCTCTGTGTCCCCTGAGCTGGGGAACCTTCAGGGACACAGGACGGCCAGCAGGTGCAGGTGGACCATGACAGTCTGAGCTAGGGGACGTTGGCCCACATGGGAACAAGGGACGAGGAGGAGAGCAGCAGCCCCCTTGGTCACAAGGCCCCTGATTCAGAGTCAGACCTTAGAGGATGTGAATTCTGACTCTCCCAAATCCCAATTCAGTGTTTGCCAAGTGACTCTATGTGTCTTTGAGCTTCTCTTTCCTCACCTTTCAATTGGGGATTATCAATGCCATGGAGATGGGAGGTCGAGAATTAAAGTTGTAGAAATCCATGCATAGAACATGGTACTCGGGACACTTTGGTCCTTGGAATGGACCCTGCCTCCTCCTCTGTGGACAGTGGCCTCAGCAACGTGTCCATGTTCCCACTGAGGCCAGTGTGGGTGTCTTTTCTCAGAGTGTGAGGAGTGCAGGGACGTTCTGGAGGCCGTACTGGGGCAGAGGCTGGATTTCTGGGAGGAGGAGCACGCAGAGACACCAACCCTGGAGGACAAGCTCAGGTAAGGGGGCTGTGTGCTGGGCAGGCAGGTGGGAGGTGTGAGTGTTTGAAGTGGGGCAGTTCAGCTGGGACTTCTCAGAGCTCAGCTGGGCCAGGAGCATGGCAGGAATTGACGAGGCAGGCTCCTTTTCCACAGATATTAATAAAACAAGATGAAAACAAAACTAATGATATATTCTGGCCAACAGTTGTTACTCAGAGCCATGTTTTCTCATTTCAAACAGGAAATTATTAAGGTGAAAGTCCCGTGACATAAAATTAACCACAGGAAACTCAACAACTCAGCAGCTTTGAGTGTAGTCAAACTGTGCATTCAGGCGATGGAAACACTAAAAGCCCTGACTCCAACACTACGCAATGTATCCCGGGAACAGCCTTGCACTTGTACCCCTTACATTTACGCAATTAAAATTTAAAAATATTGTGCAATCACCATCCCTTTCACTCTGAATCACTGTCACCTCCTGACTCAATGTGGCTTCTGATTCTCTTACCAAAAGAACGTTGTGTCCTTGACCTTGTCATCTTGTGTCTTTCGTCCTTTCACTGGCCCAGCTGGTCCTGGCCACATTTCTTCGTGTGGCTGTGTGTCCAGTCGCTGCAGAATGTGCTGGGTGTATTTTCACGAGGAAAAGGCCTTGGCCAAAGTGAGGAACTGAAGGGACACCGTTGTGAAGCCAATTCAGGAAGACACCTGGCTCTTCTGATGAAGAAAACATGAAGGGAATGTCAAGGATCTCACAGGGGCACTTTCTGATGCACAGGAGGCTTTCCCTGTACATTCTTCTCTCTCTTTGCCACAAGCAAGTCATCAAATATGTGCCAGAATTGTACTTAGAAGGCTTCCTGGGGATATCTTCGTGGAAATGTCTGCCAAATCGAATGCAGTTTATTGTTCAATAGTGACCTTTAATACTTGCTTTTGTTCACCCATAGGGAAGCCAATATGGTCATCGAACAACAGGCCCGAGAGCTCACCCAATTGAGGCAGTTGTTGAAAGAGGGGAGAGATGGCTCATTTCTGCTCAAGGAACATCTGAAGGCCCTCTTCACGCAAGACAACCCTGACAACTGCCAGGGGCAGGGCCTCCGTGAGCACCTGGCGGAGGGGCGCAGGCTGGCAGAGCACCTCGCCCGCACGCTCAGCCCAGGTAAGGTGTCCACAGCCCTCATGACTCTGAGCTGCTCCCAGTTGCCAGCTCAGAGGACACTCCACTCACCATGTGGCTCTTTGGTTTGCACTTCACATTTATGGCCATGATAGGATCAGGGCTGCCCGGCGGGAGCATAGGATAGAAATGCTCAGGGAGGACGTCCCAGTGTTCCCTCTCTGTCCTTCCTTCCTGATGCATCATGGCCTTTGGGTGAGGAGGGAGCCTCCATCCCCTGTTAGAGTAGTGCAGGAGGGTGTCACAAGAGTCAGCTTGGTAGAGGGATGACAGTCCTGGTCTAGGAATGAGAGGGTCCCAGGCTGTAGCCGAAGTGCTGTGCTTACTGCCTGAGAGCCTGTGAGGGATTTGTCCTTCTGAATTTCTCAGTCCTCATCTGGAAAAAATGTATCACATGGAGCTGTAGCCATCCTACATGGGAATGGGATATTCATGAAGGCACCTCAGTGAAGATAAAGGCCCTCACTCCTGGGGTGTGAAGGTACTTGGTAGAGCAGCACCTGATGTTGGGGATGTTGCTTTATCCTGGGACACTTTCCATGGAGAGAACTTCCTGTAATGTAGTCAGAGCCAACTTGTTACCTTGTTAGCACTGAGGAGTCAACAGTGATAAATTATTAAGTAAAGTCCTAGGTTTACGTTCAGGTTCACTCTTTGTGTTGTACTGTCTGTGGCTGTGTGCATAAGTATAATGTTGTGCATCCACTATTATAATGACAACCAGAATAGTTTCAAAGCCCTAAACGTCCCCCATTCTCCACCTATTCATCCCTCCCTCCTTCACCCGAACCCCACATAGCCATGTCTTCGTGTGTCATCAGCTCTGTGCTGTGCAAAATTTCCCCAGTCTGGGGCTTATCTTTTCATTATAGTGACAGTTTCTTTCACACAGCAGAGGTTAATTTTCGTGAAGTTGAATTTATCAATTCTTTCCTTCATGGGTTATTCTTTTGTGTGTTGTGTCCAAGGACCCAAACCTGGCTTATCAAATAGATGGATCTGTTCTGTAAGATTCCATTCAGTCAAAAGGCTGCACTCAAGGATCCAGAAGGCCGCATGTGGCACCAAGGCTTCAGGTTCCCCACCCTTCATTAGACCTTATACATATTTAGTTAGCTTCATTCTTAAGAGCGTCTTTTTTGAGCTACCTTAAATGACATTGAGTATTAATTTCAAATTCCAGCTCTTCATTGCTGATATTTAACTAATCAATTCATTGCATATATTAACTCTGTATCCTGCAACCTTGCTACTGGTGACTTATTCATTCCACAAGTTTTTTGTTGTTTCCCTCATTGCTGATTCTCTGGGAGTTTTATATAGACATTAGCTTTTATGTCCTTTCCTCATCTTATTGAAACAATGAGACCTTCCAGAATGATGCTCATTAGGAGTGCAGAGTGGATGTCCTTCCTGTGTTCCTGATCTTTGCTGGGAAAGCATCGAGTTTCTTACCAGCGAGCCTGGTGTTAGTCACAGCTTTGAGTAGATATCTGCATCGTGTTGAGGAAGTTCTTTGTATTTCTGCTCCATTGAGATTTCTTATCACAAGCATGTGTTGAATTTTGTGAAAGGCTTTTTCTGTTTCATCTGAAATGATTATAAATTTCTCTTCTTTAGTGAGCTTATATGATGGATTAATTGATATTTGAGTGTTGAACCACCGTTGCCTATCAGGTTTGGGGCCTGTAATACTTTGGTTGTGCTATGTAATTCTTTTTATACACGGTTGGATTCCATTTACTAATACTATACTGAGGATTTCTGCCTCTATCTTCAGAAGATGTATTTGGCATTTAGCATTCCTTTCTTATGTCTTTTGCTAGTTTTGATGTTGGTGTAATGTTCATCTCATACTTTGAGTTAAGAAGTCTTTCTTTTTATTTTTTATTATACTTTCATGCCCAAAGATCCATATATCTTCTCTTGTCTTTCTCATATTTCAATTATGCACCTTTAAACTTTTATAATTATCCCACAATTCTTACATATTGGGTCTTTCTTATTTTCCCCTTTGTATTTCGGGTTTGGAACTGCCTAGTGACATTTCTTCAAGCTCAATGATTCTTTCCCTGACCGTGTCTAGTCCACTGATAAACCCATCAAGGGCATTTTCTTTTTCTATTACATTGCTTTTATTTCTAGGATTTCCTCTGAACTATTTCCTAGAGTCTCTATCCCTCGACTTATCTACCCTTCTGTTTTTCTCTGTTGCACACTTGTCCCATTAGCACCCTAAGCCTACTGATCTTAGCGCCCTTAGCCTACTGATCACATAAGAATGTGATCTTATACACATTCCTAATGTGTATATTCCACATATGTCCCACGTCTGGGTCTGGTTCTCATGCATCTTTTCAAACTGTGTGTTTTGTCTTCTGGCATGCTAATTTCTTAATAAAGTCAGACACGCTGTTCTGGGTAGAAGGAATTGAGGTAAATAGCTGTGTACTGTGAGGTTTTCTGACTGGCTGACTAGGGGTTAGTCTGTGTTTACTGTCTGCAGCAGCTGTAGGTGTCAGAGTCTGTAATTTCCTCTGATGTTCTTCTTCTTGTCTCCTCTGTTGTCTTGGGTTTCCCTAGAGAATTCTGCTTAAATGAGGAGGAAAACATACAGTTCTTCAGGTTGTTTTTTGCTCTCATTATATGGGAGCCCTACTGAAGTGCTGGTGAGGTGTGGAAGAAGGGGAGGCATTCCCTAGTCTCATGGCCAGGTCTCAGTGTTCAATCAGCCTGAGTCCCTGGGCTGTGACCTTCAGAAGTCAGGATTTTCTCCCCACTCTTCCCCATTGGAGGAAAGAAGAAGATTAGACACACCTGAGATTGGATACTCTGCCTCCCACAGGCCTGGTAGGGTCTGGTAAAGCCGCAGGTGGTTAAGCTCTAGTCCAGTTCTTTGTTTCCAGAGTAGGATTGGTGAGGAAGGCAGAATGCTCTTGGTATAGTTCAAGCAGCTACCACCACCCCTCCCACTCCCAGATGAATTAATAGATTTCTCTGTAATCTCCACCATGAGAAAATGGTTGATATCAGATGTTAAATCTTCCATGAGTGTGTGGGAACTTTTATGACAGCAACTGTCTTTTGTTTTATTTTTCAAATTTCTGCAGACTCAGACTCCAGCAAGTAATCAATTATGTCTTAGGTTTTCTTACCGTAGAAAACGTCCACATTTAGATACATGTACTGGTGTTCGGCCCAAAAGTTTGCTGTTTTGTGTGTTCACTTGTCCTGACCTCCAGTGTTTGCAGGAGCAGTTTAAACTCTTAACCCCATGCTCTGCCAGATGCAAGAATTGTTGATTTTTCATTTGTTCAGGTTTTTTCTTGTTATGGGGACAGGAATGATGATTTCCGCTATTCTGACATGCTGGACAACACACTGAGATGCTCCCAGGTGTTCTGGGGAAAGAGAGATACAGTTATTTTTTCTATTTTTAAAGGACTTTCCCACCATGGTTGAAAACAGGCTTCACAGAACGATGAATGCTGCAGTTGTAGAAATCCAAGAGAGCGTTAGAAGTATATTGTGAGCTGACAAACACAAGGCATTTTAAACATTTATTTTCCATTTCCACAGCCAAGCACTGATGGCGATACACCAGATCAGGCCAATTGTATCTGGTATATCAGATAAACAGGCCAAGCCATTTATTTAAATACAAAATAGGAGACAGGTGCTATAATTCTATCAGTGAACCAGAAGTCCTACGCTGCTATTATGTCTCCATGCCCGATAGCCCACTGCATTCGTAGGGCTGATGTGTAGCTACTCAATGTCTCACTGGACATTTCTGAATTTGTATGCAGAAAACCACGAAGATGAGGAGGATGAGAAAGAGGAAGCACCACCAGCCCCTAGGTATGAGTGAATAATTAGGGCCTGGGGGAGGGTGGGTAAAACACGGGTCAGCCCAGTTACACTGGCCAAGATGTCAAAAGTAGCCACAGAGTTCACAGCAAAAGTACATGAAAACTGTTTGTTCTTTGATGACATTCACTCAACCAGTGAAAAACTGCTTCTATTAACAAGATTGTTTACTGTCTTCACAGTACTTTCCAGTAACTAAGGAGAACAAGTCAGTCTTAGGGATTTCTACAATCACAGAATCTGCCTGTTCTCTCTCCCATGGCTGAACTCAGTACAAGATGCCCATCTGCTTTCTACACCGGTGGCCTTCACTTGTGGAAGTGATTCCATAGCAAGGGATTTAAGCAGACTGAAATAGTTCCATCATGTCACCATATTCCTAGAGGGAGTCCTAGTAGGCACAAGAGATCCTGAACCTACGACGTCAGGAGCCCGTGTTCACTGTGCTGCTGCAGGAATATTCGACATCCTCCACGCATAAGGCTCAGCCACAGTGTGGTTCTCTGTGTGTGCTGCCTGCTGACATTGAACCACAGGGGACACTGTGTCCCCTCCTTACCATCTCCTGATGTGTCCAGTGCACAGAGCACTTGCTGCTCTTCCACTCCTGCCCTCGAGGCACCAACATTCTTCCTTTATCATGAGAGGATAGTTTTCTTTCTCTTCAAAGGGACAGCCCCTTGCCCTCTGTGGCCAGTCCTTCATGCCTCTAGTCAGGATCCCCTTGAATCTGGTGTCCAATCCCTCTTGGTTTGGTCCTATTCTTTATTCCACCAGGCTGATCAGAGAGGTCCAGGAGCAGGAGAAGGTGAATGGAATCCCGCAGGACCCCCTGGATGATGGCCACCCGACTTCTCCCAGTCACCATGACCTGTGTGACACCCACCAGCCTGCCTGCACCAGTGCCATCCTGTTTGGTGAGCAGGGAGTGTCCTCTTGGCTGGATGCAGCTAGTGAGTACTCTATTATAAAGGGAATACACTCCAAATTGTCCTGCAGGTAGCCTCTGTGCCTCCTGGCTCCAATGGCAGGGTCAGGGTGGTGAACACAGGGCTTACCAGAGTGGAGAGATCAAAGATATTGTAACAAACTGCAGCCACCATTCATGCCTGTGCACACAGGTGTCTGCATGAGCCTATTCTCTACAGATGGGACGTCTGTTCTCTCTTGCAATGTCCTCTCTAAGTGCTGATCCCGAACAGGGTACTCTGAGCATCAGTGACTGTCTGAGGGGGTGGATATTCTTGCTTGTATCTTTGGAGATAGTGTTGGTGACTCCTCACCTCCAGACCACAGTCTCTCTCTTTTCTATGTTGACCTGTCCTCGATAAATGGCCATGTAACCACCAGAATACAAACACCTCTGGAATGAGTCTGGAATTATCCCTGAACACATGGCAGGCCCCCTCACACCCTGTACATCCTTGAATGAGAAGTATCCTGTTCTCAAAGTAGCAAAGGCCTTTTCTATTTAAGGGTATAGAGACTGCACTCATCATCTGATCTCAGTGGATAATCTCATCTGTACCCATAGCAACCGCAGTAGCTGATGGACTAAAGACTGCATCTTGCAGCAACATTTCTAGAAAGCCACTAGACAAGCTCTTCCTGTTCACTGGAAAATATGTTTAATTGTTGGCCCAGTCTCAGGTCAGAGTGTGTGACACTGATGGACCAATTCAGGGACAGTTTACCCAGGGACTTAGAATAGGAAGCCTGGGTGCTTCTCAGAAGATATAGCCTGAGGCCATCTGGAATATTCTCCATGGAATACTGTTCTCACACCACCAGTACTTTCCTCCATGTATTACACAGGCCCCCTGGGTTAGTGTTAATCCTGACGCAAGTATCTGTTGTGACTCGTCCTGTCTGACTGTATTTCCAGCACCTCAAAATGATGAGAAGCATGAGGAAAGACCAGAGCCCATGGAGCCCAGGTGAGTCTGACAGTCATGGGCTGTGTATGCCACGGCACTGTCTGGAGATCTCCGCTCGAGGGAACAGCAGAGTGTGCTGAATGGATCTACCTCACCCATCCTGCCTGGCAAGAATGTGTCTGTTGATGTGGTGGTTCTTATACTGGTTTCCACTTCCCGCTAATTTCTCAAGTTCAATAAGCTGGATCCTGTGACCCAAGATCAACTGACCAGTCCCAGGCGTTCCTGCATTCACGGTGAACCCTCCTCTCTCGCATGGGAGGAATATCGGAGGAGAGGCACAGCTTCTGTCTGCAAGGGTGGCCCCTTAGGTCATTGGCAGCAATTCCACGGCAAGTAGTATACTGAGACAAGAAAGAAAGGAAGAAAAATTTCACATCATTTCACAGCATTGAGAGAACGAGGCCTAGAAGGCCCAAGATCTCTTACAGTCCGCGATTCCTCAGGTGCTTTACTCACTGCAACTGGGCAAGCAGAGTGGAACTAACATGCACGGGAGCTGCAGCGAGTATTACGGGTCGTTGCGCTGTGTGTCCTGATTACACAGTGCAGGGGGAGCGCAGTGTCTTTCCTGGTCAGTGTGCCATGTGGCCAGTGCACTGAGCACCTGCCCCTTCCTGAAACCCCCGTGGCAGCCTCCCTCAGCCACAGCCATAGGAGGGCTGTTTATTCTTCCTGTTTCAAGGAGTGGCCTCCGTACATCTCGGACCTCTGCCTTTGTCTCCTGATCGGGACCAGCTGGGGAAGTCGTGGTGCCAAATGACTCTCAGCTTAACATTCTCTCCTCTGCACCCCCAGCCTCAGCAGGGAGAGGGAGGAGATGAATCCCACCCAGCAGCCCTCACTGCGTGAGCAGCGTCTCACTCTCTCCAGTGGCCACGACTTCTCTGATTCCTGCCACCCTTCCAACAGCACTGCCTTGCTGCCTGATGAGGGAGAAGTCTGCGCCTCCCCGGATATAGCTGGTTAGTGTGTCTTGGATAAGGTAGATCAGTCCAAGTATCCTCCCAGGTAGCCTCCATATTCTCTGTGCCCCACACCTCTCTCTAGGTAGGGAGATGCCAACGTGCCCTGGAAACACATACTGATGTGGATTAGGGTGGCCAACTGAGTGTGAAGCAGCAACATCAGGTGTGTCTGGCAGCCAGGCAGTCCCCCATATCCCAGGCCAAACAGGTTACCATGGGACTCAATGACAAGGTCATGGTGGGCACAACATAGTTAAGCAGAGTGGTGAGAGTGAAGAAAGTGTGATCAACTCTCAGCCGCCGCTGAAGCATGTGCACGGCAGGGGTCTGGGTGAGCCCATCCTTTCGTGTTGGGACTTGTGTTCTATCCCGTAGGGTTCTGATCATTGTTAAAAAATCATTAGGCTGGGCCTGGTGACTCACTCCTATAATCCTAGCAGTCTGGGAGGCAGAGGCAGGAGGATCGCTTGAGGTAATGAGTTCTAGACCAGCCTGAGCAAGAGTGAGACCCCATCTCTACTAAAAAATAGAAAGAAATTATATGGACAACCAAAAATATATAGAAAAAATTATCCAGTCATGGGGGCGCATGCCTGTAGTCCCAGATACTCGGGGGCTGAGGCAGGAGGATCGCTTGAGCCCAAGAGTTTGAGGCTGCTGTGAGCTAGGCTGACGCCACAGCACTCTAGCCTAGGCAACAGAGCTAGACTCTGTCTCCAAAAAAAAAAAAAAAAAGCATCAGTGACTGTCTGAGTAGGTCGATGAGGTTGGTGGTCTTGCCTGTGTCTGTGGAGATGTCACCGTAGTTCTTGACTTCCATTCACAATCTCTCTGTCCCCTCTAATTCAACTGATCCCTGCCAAGGATGTGTCAGAATGGCAGAGGAGATATATGTGTCATCGCCACATCTGGAGTTGTCCTTGAAATCAACGCTTGGGTGCTGAGACGTCCGAGCTCTACGAGTAGCGCAGATCTTGGTGTCTGAAGCACCAGACACTCCTTCCCGCAGACATCGGTGCAGACCTTCCTGTAGATTCCACCCCTCGGTGTGGTCTCGGTGTAGAATCCCACCTGTACCAACAAGCACTGTGTCTGCGAGGGGAAAGCTGAATCTCGCATCAACACCACTTTGAAGGCCGCTACGCACATTCCCTGCAATCTCTGGCAGGGATGACATATTTCATTGTTCGCCAACTCAGGGCAGAGGACGATGTGGGGATGATGTAGCAGGTGTGGTTGGCTCAGCAGAGCAGGCCCAGCCCCTTCCGTAGAAGGCACAGGTGGAAGCCACCAGCCTGGTTCCTTGCAGAATGTGCTGGACTTTTTCCTTGAGAGAACATTTATATCCCTGTGATTGCACAGGGTGTTGTGTAAAGTGTGACTTAAGAACTGGATAATAGGACTGGTTTCTCTAAATTTCTTTGCAGAAAGTCAAAGTGAGAACACTTGCAAGGATAAGGATGGAACAGAGCCGATGCCCTCCAGGTAACTCACGGTCACGGGCTGTCAGTGTACTCTGGCCACACCCAGGACAGCCTCAGTGTGCTGCGTGCACCTGTCTCATTCATTCAGCAAACTGTGACCAGCCTTGTACAGTGTCAGCTGTTTTCTTGGTGGTTCTGCCCTGGTTCCCACTTGCCATTGATTTCTCAAGTTCAGTAACCTAGTGCCAGGCTGACTGGAGGTGAACTGATCACACACACTCCTGAAATCAGGGAGAACGATGGATCTTTCCCACATGGGGAAAACCAAGAAGAGATGCGTACCTTTGTTTGCAAGGTTGGCCTTTGTTACTTGCCAGGGATTTTATAATAAGAAATGTAACTTGACTGAGAAAAAACATATGAGGTCACAATATCCAGAGATCAAGGCCTAGAATGCTGACGATCTGTAGGAGTCAGTCAAGCCTCAGGAGCCTCCATTCACTGCCCTGCTGCAAGTGAAGTGAACCCACCTTGCAGCGGAGCCCTAGCAAGTGCAACAGTTCTCCTTGTGTGCTGCTTGTCATGGCGGCACCAGGCCTGGGAGAGGAGTGTCCTTCCTGGTCAGCACATCACGTGGCCAGCACACTGGGCCCCCGCTACACTCCTCACCCACACCTGCCCTCCCCAGCCCCATATCAGCCCCGTTCTGCCTCAGTCAGAAGAGAGTGGTTTTCTACCTTCTCGCTGAAGGGATGTCCCCTTTGCCTCCTGGGACCTCTCCCTTAGGCTTCCAGTAAGGAGCGCTGAGATGCTGCGATGTCCAATCCTTCTTTGGTTAATAGGCTGCTCCCCTCCCCCTCTCCCCTCAGCAGGGAGCTGTGGGAGAAGGACTCAGTGGACAAACTGGGACAGCATTCCTTAGATGCTTCCTACTTGTCACCTTCCAGCGGCCAAGACTTCTTTGACACCTGCCGGGCTCCGGACAGTCCTGCTTTCGTGACTGATGACATCTGGGCTGCTTGGGAGGCAGAGAGTGAGTCCTCCCATTACGGGAAGAAGGAGGCCCCCCAGTGGTCTCCCCAGTAGCCTCAGTATCTTTCTGCCCGCCCGTCGATGTAGAGAGATGGCTCTTTGCAGCCACACCCTGTAGGCCAGCTCCACAGGGACCAGAGTCTAGGAACAAAGTCTAAGCACAGACATGAGGGGTTTCAGGGAGCTTTGCACCCTTTCTAGTCCTTAGCACATATGTGGCACTCTGACACTCACTGGCAAATGCAGGCTGTGGGCACCAAGACAGGCCAGGGTGGGTAGAGTGAGGGTGTTCGGGCCACTCTGCCAGTTGTGCTGTGCGTGCACAGAATTCTGGGACAGAGGCTTCTTTCCATGAGACGTCTCATCTCTCCTTCTGTTGTCTGGCTAATGGTCATTTCTCACCAGTGCTTTCTGAGCACCTGTAGCTCGTCAAGGAGGGTGACAGTCTTCCTGTATGTTTGGAGACAGTGTTCCCAGGGTCCCTCAGCTCTGAGCTCCAGTCCCTGTCCTCCTATTCAGCTTGTCCTCGGAAGCCTCATCTGAGCACCAGAACGTACACCCCAATCGCATTGCCTGTGTGTAGGACGTTCCCTGAAGGCCAGGCTTGGCTCTGATGTCCCCACATCCATTGATGGCCAAGGATCATGGCTCTAAGGAGGACCAAAGACTCTTCTTTGTGCGAGTCTGTGTGTTGTATCCCTCAGTCGAATCTCAGGGTCACTCTCATGTCCATGAGCAGCAACCAGGGGATCCACCAGGCAGGTTGCAGCAACACGCCCAGAAAACAGTGTGGCAAGTTCCCCATGATCTCTAAAAGGAATAATCATGTAACTATTTACCCAGGTTTAAGCAGTGGACATGTGTTGAAGGTCTGTCACAATAGGCACTATTTGGTGGCTCAGAAACACAGGGCCAGTTCCTTCTTCGAGCACACATCTAGGGCTCCCTGCAGTGTCCTTCTCAGAATATCCTCCTTTTGTCCAGAGACTGTTTGTATTACTGTGTGTGCACTGTACAAAGCAATAACCGTGGCATGTGACTGTGTCATCTGATTTCATTTGCAGAAAACCTACACGATTCTAAGGATGAGGAAGGGCAGGAGCCAGCGGCCCCCAGGTGACTCTGACAGTCAAGGACTCCTCATGGGAACTAAGGTGGTGTTTGGGGATCTCATCTGGAGATCCAGGGACCCAGATCTGCTCAATATTCCTATGTGATCTCGTCAGCCGACCAGGCAGGGTCTGTGTCAGCAATGGTGCTGTTGTCCCTGCTATTCCTGTGTCGATGCCACTTGCTGTGAAGTTTTCACGTTGGGTAACATAGAATCAGCCAGGTGAACTGTCATCGTTCATGGGTTTCCATAGTGAGAAACACATATGACCTCCTGTCCCCTGTGTGGTTAAAATCAGGGAGAGAGGCGTCCCTGCCTTCTTATTGAGGGCCTAGCCTGCTGGCAGGTTCTCCACAGCAAGGAACGTCACTAAACAAAAAGAAAGTTCATATCGAAAAGAATTCGCAACTAGGTCCACAATGCCCAGATATAAACCTGCATTTGCAGAAATTTCAGAAAAACTGATGCACATTCACTGAATGTGTGGCAGGATTCCCTTGGAGAGCTGCCTGGGGCTATAGTCACAGCATCTCTTTCAAAGTCCTTCTCAGCTCTCATCACCCCCTGTCCACTCTGACGTTTTCCCTTCTGCCCACCTTAGGAAATACCACGTCATCATTCAGGATCAGGCGCAACAGCTGACGCAGCTTCGCCAGAAGTTGCGGGAAGGAAGAGATGCCTCCTCCTCACTCAGTCGCCATCTCGAGGCCCTCCTCACACAGGAGGACAGTGTCAACTACCAGGAGGAACTGGAGGAGGGGCGTAGGCTCGCAGCATGTCTTACCAGCATGATCAGCCCAGGTAAGGCGAAAACAGGCCCTGATCACCCACAGTCCCAGGCTTAGGAGAGACTGAAGAACCTCCAAGGCAACCTTGGTAGTTGTCTGTCCTTTCACGTCACATCTGGGGCCGTGACGAACTCAGGACTGTCTGACTGCGAAGACAGGACAAAGGCACTGGCTGCAGGCACAGGTAGCAAGACACGAGGCAGCTTGTAGGAGTGAAAGGCTCTGGACTGCGAGTTTCTCAGGCTGTGTTCTCAGTGCTGTCCTCACTACACGTGAGCAAGTTTCTGATTTCTTTTTCTTGGAATTTTGCTTCTTCTTCTGTAAAATGGTGAGCAAGCCTTGCATGTCAGCTGTAGGGATGCAGAGTGGGAACATTTGCAAGTGCACTTCCGAGAAGGGTAAAGCCCTTGGTGTGTGGGGTTGGATAAGGCCCATGGGGCAGAGAAACTTGCTGGCGGGCATGTGGGCTGACACTGAAATCCTTTCCATACCACAATTTTCCTGGATAAACAACAGAAGCCGACTCGGCAGTCCCTGTGGAGTCCTCGGCTGTGCAGAGGGTCTTGGGATAGGGTTGTTTGTCCTCTCTGGAGAGAAAGGAGTTGGTTCTAGGACACAGCTGTGCCGGGACCAGCTTTGTGGCAGCAGGGCGGGTACAGATGCAGAGGCCACAGGGAACCTGGACAAGCATCTGGTGACCTGGGGGACAGAAGATATTTTTAACCCTTCCCACAACTTCAGACAGAACATGCCAGAAAGCTGACACATCGGATCAAAGAGACTTTTTGTGCTGGGTCATAAAACCAAGCCAGGCCACTTCTTGATAGAAGGACAATACCTTTCAGTGTGTCCTAAAATCACACATAGATATCCCTGTCCCCATGACCAAACAGGCAGGCCACTGTGTCTGTAATGAGTGACAGAGAACTACGTTATGTCTCACTGGACATTTCTGAATTTGCAGAAAATCCTGCAGGTGAGGAGAGGGAGGAAGAAAAAGAACCACTGCCCAAAATGAGACACCAGAGCAGGTAATATATGGAGAGGGTTCTAGAAAGAGCCATGGGGAATGTCGGCACATACACGAGGCAGGGGGAAATATAAACTGCTGATTCTACCAACTCCATTCTCTCAGCCGGCAGTGCCGTAGCCCCTTACACAGGA